AGTGATGAGAATCTTGGCCAGGGTGATTGATTGCTTAGAAATGTAGAGGAAAGAAGAAATATGTAAAATATCACAAAAGGTGAATCAGCAAATAAAATTTAGTAACAACAAACATGGGGGGAGGGTGAGACAATTACAGAATCTCCACATAAGGTCTAAAACATTTACATAGTGACAGGCTACATATACAGGCATATATATATATATATATATATATATATATATATATATATATATATATGTATGTATGTATATATGTATGTATATATGTATATATACATATATATGTATGTATATATGTATATATACATATATATGTATGTATATATGTATATATATACACACATATATGTATATATATACACAGAGAAGATATATATATATACACATATATATCACTATGTAAATGTTAGCTGTGTACACAAATATGTTTATGCTGCATCTTACAGTATATAAATGTTACAATATACAAATGTTAGCTACATATATGTGTATATATAGTATATTCATATATAGTAAGCACAATATAAATGTTAGGTGATATATGTGTATTTAATATACATTATATTAATACATAATATATTTATTTATATATTAAAGCATATAAATGTTAGTGATATATATGTGTATTTATATTTATTTATATATATGTGTAATAATATAACATATAAATATGTGATATTTTATGTATTTATATGCATTTTAAATATATAACAATATATAGATATGTGTGTTTATATATTAGAAGCACAATGTAAATGTTAACTATATATATTTATATATTTGTATAGTTAATATACAAATTTGCATTATACTAGTATATAAATAAATATATGTATATGTAAGCACAATATAAATGTTAGTTGTATATAAATATACACTTATTTTCATGTATGCATGTTTATATATAGCTAACATTTACATTGAGCTTATGGCACCATGCTAAACATTTAATAATCCTTATCTCCTTTGATCTTCACAGCAATTCTAGGAGGTAGATGCTATTATAATTCTCATTTTACAGATGAGGAAACTGAGGCAAACAAATAACTGACTTGCCCAGGTCACACAGCTAGGAAGTATCTGAGACTGGTTTTGAACTCAGGTCTTCCCAGCTCCACTACACCACCTGCCAGCCAGACTCAGGGCATGTGGTGATCCGATCTCCAGTGAAAGGAATCAATGACCTCTGTGAAGGAGTGATAAGTACTAACCTCTTCCTCCTCATATTTTCATCTACCAGGGGTTGGGACATTTCTTTGTTTCTTTGACATAGGTGAGCTCTTCTCTGCCTGGCAGTCACTGCCTCCCACAGTTAGGCACACACCCCTAATCCTCCCTGCCTTCAGCGTGAGAACCCTGTTTCCCACAAGATGTGCACCAATGGGTTTGGGGCAATGATTCATCCTGGAGGGAAACTGGGTTTGGTCTTCTCTAAATATACAGTCCTTTCCTCTCCCTAGGTCCCCCCAGATTAGATTTGGTGCCAATAAATTTTGTCCTGCCTTTCATTTGTGCATTTTGTATAGCTAAACTCAAGGACTGGTATTTCATGAGTATTTGTGTCAGAATTTATGAAGCACTACCTTCTACATGAGATCCCAAAAGATAGAAACAGCCAGGTACTTTATTTTTCAAATTAATTTGTAGGGCCTATAGCATTACACTTCAAGCCCTACACCATTTACCATGGTTTTTTCCTAGAAGAGTTCTAAAAATTCCTCCTGAACTAGTCACATACGTCCCCTTCGACCATTTAGGAAATTTATTATCCCAATTCATAATATATAGTAGAAAGGACCTCAGAGATCATCAGTTCACTCTTCTCCTTTTACAGATGAAGAAAATGAGGCCCAGATTGGTGAAATGATTTATTTAAGGTCCCATGGGTAGTGAATGGCAAAGCTTCAAACCCATGGTCCTCTGGTTCCAAATCCAGCATTCCTTCCCTTGTGCCACATTCAGTAACTTTCCCACATTTCAATTAGAGTGTGAAGCAGGAATTAAGCATTCACAATGCATATCTCATTCCTTGGAGGCTGAAGGTCAGTATCAATCTTTGGACAATTGGGATTAATGAGGCTGCTTCTACAGTGTTTTTAAAAAGAAGTCAATGGTCTATATTTTTTGAAGTACAATACTCCAACTAATGTCACTGCTGTCCTAATGGCTTTTTGTACCAAAGAAAGACCCAATAAAGTAGAAGGGTACATTTGTCAAGAAACCTGGGCAGCTATGGTTACAGGTACCATAGTAACTCACAGTTAGAGGTCACGTTAAAATGTTCTCATTCTAAAATTCAAACAAGTTATTCTTTAAGGAAACAAAGTGACATTTATTTTTAATTTGACTTAGAAATACACTGATGCCTCAATTAATTTTTAACCAACTAAACAGAACATTCAGGGCAATAGGACTTTTTTTTCAATGTCAAAAATTTAGGCTAACCATAGGGAGTCAAATGGTAATCAATGAAGGTAAAAGATGATGAGAAGAAGCTTTGTGATTGGTCAGCAAAAAAGCCAAGGGCTCTAAAAACTGAGTCCTGTAAGAACCAGAGCAGCGAATAGGAGGAAAGTTGACGAAAATGCAGAGGGAAGGAAAAAGGAGAAGAGGGTAAGTTCCTCTCTCTTCTCTGTCCATCAGCCATTCTTCATCCTCACTCGGACCTACAGTCTATTCCTCAGTGTTCTTCCAAGCCATCACCACCACCTTAGCCTCAGGTTTCACTTTTATTCATTGACAGTCTTGACCCTCAAAATAAATAACATTTAAATAGTGCCTTAAGATTTGCAAAGTGCTTTATAAATATCATATTTTATCTTCATAACAACCTTGAGAGGTAAAGTGCTATTATTGTCCTCATTTTACAGATGAGGAAACTGAGGTTGGCAGAGGTTACATGACTTGCCTAAAGTCGCACAGCTAGGCTATGTCTGAGGCAAGATTTGAAGTCAGGTCTTTCTTTCTCCAGGCTCAGTACTCTGTTCACTGCAGCACCCAGCTCTAGTTAACCATTTCAACTTCACACTGTCCGCTGCACTTGACTCCCTTGCCACACCTTGTCCTATTCCCATTTATGTTTTGTAAAACTGGCCCTGGGCTGCCCCCCTGCTTTCTTTGTTTTTACCCCCAGACTGTTGAATATTATTGTTCAGTTGCATCCAACTTTTCATGACCCCATTTGGGGTTTTCTTGGCAAAGATACTGGAGTATTTTGCCATTTCCTTCTCCAGCTCATTTTACAGATGAGGAAACTGAGCAAAACAGGGTTAAGTGATTTGCCCAGGATTACACAGCTAGTAAGTGTCTGAGGCTACATTAGAACTCAAGAAGCTAAGTCTTCCTGACTCCAGGCCTGGTGCTCTGTCCACTGAGCCAGCTAGAGCCCCCAGGCTGCTGAATGCCACCAAACAAAGCCACACAAGTATGATTACTGGATCCAGGTGTTTATGTTAGCTAATCTTTACTGGGTCCTCATTACAACATGGCAATCCTTTTATTCTTTCCTAATTGACTATTTCACCTCCCACAGCAACTATTATAGATCTTTTCTTCTCTCCTCAATCCTCCGGCACTACCCCCTTTCCCTCTTTTCTCTCTGTTTAGAGCCATTTTTTTTTCAGGTATTTGGAGGGTTTTGGGGGCCCTTCTTCTCTTTCTGCTTGCCACCTGCTTTACTAAGAAGAGACTGTCATGAGCTTCCTGTTCTTCTCTTCCCACACCTCAAAGGCCTTCAACGTTGCCCCACTTCATGTCCTCCTTTGATCCAATCTCTGAATAAGAAGTTGCTTTTCTCCCTACCAGAGCTACCCCTTCTACTTGTACCTACAGTCCTATTCCCTCCTGATTCCTCTAGGTACTTACCCTCCAGTTGTTCCCTTTATCACTAATTCTCAATAACTCCCTATCCGTGGTCTTCCTTCACGCTGTCTACAAATATGCCCAAGTCCTCTATCCTATAAAAACATTTACTTGACTCTACCACTCCCTCAAGCTCTAGTCCTATATCTCCTTTTCTCACCTCAAATCTCAGGAAAAAAAAAGATCTACACTCCCAGTTTCTACTTCCTCTCCTGCCCTTCACATCTCTACCCCTGGCTATCTAGCATCAGACCTCACCACTCAACTGAAGCTGTTTTCTCCAAGGTTCCCAATAATATCTTGATTGCTAAATCCAAGGACCTTTCTCTCAGTTTTCACCTTCTTGACTCCTCTGTATCATTTTACTCTTCCTAGTACTGTCTTTCCCATAGTTTTTAATCACACTGCTTTCTCCTTTTTCTCTTCCTGACTGTGCCTTCTCAATCTGTTTGGTTAGATATAGCTAGCGTGTAATCATCAGTGTTCCTAAGGTTGTGTGTGTGTGTTTTCTTCCTATCTATCCTTTTCTCTTTTTATATCCTCTTTCTTAGTCATGTCTTCAGCTCCCATGGTTTCAATGATCACGTCTATGCAAATGATTCCTGGTGTTATATATGCAGCCTTAATCTTTCTCCTGAGTTCCATTTCCACCTCACTAACTGCAAATTGTGTATCTTCAGCTAGACATCCTATAGGCATCTCGGGCTCAATACTTCTAAAATGGAAGGGATGTAAGTGACTTGCCCAGGGTCACACACCTATTGTCTGAGGCTGGATTTGAACTCAGGTCTTCCTGACCCCAGGTCCAGCACTCTGTCCACTGCACCACTTAGCTGCCCTGTTGGATTCAATTGGATTGGATTAGGCTGGACAGGAAAACTGCTAGAAATTTGATGACTAGCCCAAACTCATGAGGATAGTGAGTAACAGGTCAGGCCCTTTGACTCCAAGCACAGTGCTCATTCCTTTATGTAATAAGTATATCAGGATATTTCTTAATATCTTCAGGACTAATTAGACAGTTCTGAGGTCCATCCTACCACCAGATCTGTGATTCTATGATGAGCCTGTGTATACACTTAGCTGCCCCTAATTCTTCCTTTTAAATCAAAATAGTGTGGCAGAAGCTTCCTTACCTGCCCTGCCTGTGCTGCTAAGAGAAGGTGTAATGATAGAGTTGGTAGATGCTGTGATATTGGATGAATCTGTTGGAGTATCCACATAACCTGCAATGAAAACAGCAAACAGAGTATTTATCTTTCTACTATTGTGTAGAAAGAGAATTTCTGAACAAAAGTGGAAAAAAGCATTGGACTTTAAATTAAAAGAGTTGGGTCTGAATCATGGTTCTATGACTTGGGGAAGTCGTTTAACTTTCCTGAGCTCCAGTTTCCTCATCTGTGAAATGGGGATAATATTTGCACTGTCTACCTCACATGGATGTTGTGAGTAAAGTGTTTTGTGAACCTTAAAGCTTTATGTAAATGAGAATCATTATTATAGGCCATTGTATGGATCAGATGAGATAATGTATGAAAAATGCTTTGTAAGGCTTAGTGGTGACATATTCTGTAATCTCTGCTCCTGGGGGGCTGAGGCTGGTGGGTGGCTTGAATTTGACAATTCTGAACTACAGTAGGCTAAGTTGGTCAGGTGTCCACATTAAGTCTGGAACCAGCTTGGTAAGCCACTGGGAAGAGGAGGTACTACCAGGATGTCTAAGAAGGGATGGTCCAGGGTGGAGACGGAGTAGGTTAAAGTTTAGATACTGATCAGGTGTGGGATTGGGCCACTGAGGGGCTGCTGCACTCCCAGCAGGTTTGACATAGGAAACCCAGTAGCTTTATTTAGCCTCATGGCTCAGGTTAAAGCAAAGACCTGGGTTTGGGAATTTACAAGCAATTGGTACTCTGGAAGTTGGTACTAACAAGAGTTTTATTATTATATAGAGCAGAAAGCATACAAAAAAAAATACACCTGCCCCACATACCTACCCCCTCAGCCCATCCTCACACAAACACAAACACATACACACACACACACACACACACACATTCTGTAATATAGACAGAGGTTGGGCCCCATAGATATAGAAACTCAACCAGTGAGAGGGGGAGGGGGTTGTGTTGGGAGAAAACATGCTCAAAGTTGAGGTTTAAGCTAGGCAGTTATATACAGTACCCTTAAAAAGGGCTTGGTGGAGAACAGGTAATCAGTGCCAGATGTGGGAGGGGGAATTCCCAATTAGATCCAGACGTGGTGGAGAAGTTTTTAGGGTCACTTATTGATACCAGGGCTGTGTGAGGCTCAGATAGGGGGAGTTTCTTTATTGGGACCAGAAATTGGGAAACAGTTTGAATTGACCGTGTGAGGCTACAGGAGGGAAATTACTCAGAGACTATTGCAGTCAAGCAAGAGTTTTATACAGTTAGAAACTGCTAACATTAGCTGCCTAACAGGGGGTTAACACAGGCAAGAACAGTGGAAAAAACCTGCCTATCTTCTTTAAGACCACTTAGCCTAAATGCCTTCCTATCAGATCTCTGCACCATATAACTATATTCTGTTTCATTTATATATGCACACACATATATAACATCAAAGAAAAGAAAAATTATAATTATCACACCATTCTTTTTTAAAAAGCATTTTATAATCCCTAACATACTATATGAGTGTTGGTTATTACTATTATTCTTCCAGTGATGTTCTATTCCATTGCCTCACCGGTATCATGGAGGTGACTCAGGGTTTATCCTGATGGAGTTTCTACCCCTCTGAAATAGTTCCTCAAATGGAACTGATGATAAAAACTAATGTCCTAAAGATACAACTAGCTAAGTTTGGGAAAGATCAGTGCCCCGTTGGCCATATGGTGATTTTTCAGTCATAGCAACACTAGAAGACAATCAATTAAGGTACAGCAGGGTTGTGAAGAACATTAGTAGAGGAGGTGCCCACACCATTCATCATCATCATGCCTGGCACATAGTAGGCTTTTAATAAATGTTAATTGACTGATTGATGAATAATAATGGCTAGCATTTTTATTTTAAGGCTTACAAAGTGCTTCATTTATACTATTTCATTTGAATCTCACAACAAACCCTGCAAACTATGTGTTATTATTAAGTATTAACTAAAAGAAATTGAGGCTGACAAAGGCTAAGGGATTTACCCTAGTAAGAGTCTCAGGCAGATTTTGAATTCAAGTCATGGCTCCAAATCCAATACTCTATCCACTGTACTCCCCAGCTGAAAAAGAAGGAAAGAAAGGAAAGAAAGAAAGAAAGAAAGAAAGAAAGAAAGAAAGAAAGAGAAAGAAGGAGAAGAAGGAGAAAAGGAAAGAAAGAAAGAAAGAGAGGAGAGAAGGAGAAAAGGAAAGAAAGAAAGAAAGAAAGAGAGAAGGAGAGAAGGAGAAAGGAGAGAAAAAAAAGAAAAAAGAGAAGGAAAGAAAAAGAAGAGAAAAGAAAGAGAAGGAAGGAAGGAAGGAAGGAAGGAGAAGGAAGGAAGGAAGGAAGGAAGGAGGAAGGAAGAAGAAAGAAAGAGAAAGAAAGAGAGGAGAAAGAAAGAAAGAAAGAAAGAAAGAAAGAAAGAAAGAAAGAAAGAAAGAAAGAAAGAAAGAAAGATCACAGACCCTTGAAGTATTGAAATGTTCTTATTGTTACTGCTGGGATCCAGAAAAACCATCCTTTTGAGGTTTGTTGGTTTGTTTATTTTTTAAGTAAGAATGTATATATATTTATAGTAATGTGCACTAATGTTTACTGATATCCCTCACACTTTAATCTGAATATCCATGCTTTGTTATTATTGTTTGTATTCTTCTTTTTGTTTTTTTTGCTATTGTCCACTCATTAGATTTAGAAGTCCTTACTACTGTAGTGTAAACACTGATCCTTGATCTTAACAAGCAAAATCAGTGTAAATCTGAAAATCATCTCCCCATACTACAAGAAATGAAAAATGTTTTACATACATACTCACATTTAATGGTACTGGCACAATATTTATATACATGAATGTATAATATATGTAATAATACATGTAATAAAATATACTCATATATAATATACATAAAAATATGTTGTTGTTGTTGTTATTGTTCAGTTGTTTCAGTCATGTTTGACTCTTTGTGACCCCATCTGGGGTTTTCTTGGCAAAGATACTGGAGTGGTTTGCCATTTCCTTCTCCAGCTCATTTTACAGATGAAGAAAGTGAGGCAAACAGGGTTATGTGACTTGCTTAGGGTCACACAGCTAGTTAAGTGTCTGAGGCCAGATTTGAACTTAGGAAAATGAGTCTTCCTGACTCCAAGTCTGGCTCTCCATCCACGGTACCACCTAGCTGCCCTGTATATGTATATGTATATGTATATGTATATGTATATGTATATGTATATGTATAACATAGATAGATACATAGATATATGGATGAATAATAAATAGTAGCTCTTTTTCTTAAAGAAAAATTACATGAAAGCTTTCTTACCTGCTGTGCCTCTGCTGTTGACAGGAGAAGTGAAAGTGGAGAAAGTAGATGCCATGATATTGGATGGATCTGTTGGAGTATTCACGTAACCTACAATAATAACAGCAAATATATATGTATTTACTGCTCCATCTTCTAACCAGTAGCCTCCACCCTATGCTGTATACTCTTCCCTTTACCCTACCACCTGCTTTCTAAGTTCCCTTTTATGTGTTGTCTTCCCTCATTAGAATGGTAGCTCCTTGAAGGCAAGGACTATCTGGGATATCTTAAGTCATCAATCTTCCAACCAAGTCTTGGGTGTTTTCTGTGCTGCTGCAAATGCTGAAGAATGTGCTTACATGCAATATTTTCTAACATAGTTTATTACCTCAAGCCATTATTTATGTCTTCTTTTATTTGGCTTTTCATTGTTTATGTTTGTCTTCTCAACCAGAATGTAAGCTCCTTGGGGGCAGAGATTATGTCTCAAATGTCTTGGCAATTCCTGTAGTGCTTACTACAGTGCCTTGCACACAGTAGGAACATAATAAATGCTTGTTGGACAATTACTTTGGGACAGAGAGAATCCTGAGGCCATGTGGTTGGATGTTTTTAGACTGGAAAATTTGATGTGAGAAAAATGGTTGGCAGTCTATAAACTCTTTTCAAAGAAACTCTTCAGTTTCCTCTCAGTATTTCTCCATGATCAATGGGACCACCACTGTAAGAGACTTGCTAAGTGGATTCTAGAATATTTTAGGGAGAAACTGGATCCAAATGCTCTTTGGGAGAGGCATGGGGAAAGAGAAGTAGGATTTGTGTAGGGGAAGCTGGCTCCTCAACTGTTCCAGATTTCCAGTTTGCCTCTCTAGAAGCTGCTAGAATGGGCCACTTTGAGTGAGATTGAGCACTATTTCTTGGTTTGAGCTGAAATATTATCTAACTCCCAGATGAAGAGCTTCTTCATTCTTACATATGTAATACCAGAAAGGAGAGAGTCTCAAACCAATGGGCTTTGGTACTGGGGTTACATACGCTTCCTAGTATATTCTAATATGTAGAACTTCTCAAATTTCTGTTTGCTGTTTCATTTGGATAAATAGGCTTCCTCAGTATCTGCTACATGTGTGCACAACATATCTTTTGTGTAATCAGCTTGTAGTGGGAAGACACTGAGCTAGCAAATGTAAGCTAAGGGTTACCTTCTCCCTGTAGAGCAACCAGGGAAGTAATTGTCCTTTTGAACTCAAACTTGTACTATTAGAACAGAGATATTTGAAGGAGGAAGATAGACTTAATTCTAACCCAATGTTCCTATCGGAGATGGAGAAAAAGGCATGCAGCCTGTCAGGTTCCGCAAGCTGGCCCTGCCTCTTTCTTTCCATATAGTAAGGTGGTGGTTTAGGCACTCATTCTTGTTGCTTCTTTTCCTCTACCTAGAGGTGAGCCAGGTCTCAGATGATATCCATCTATGCCATCCACAAACTGCATCTAGACAGTCCATATGGACCTGCATATCTTACTCCTAAGATGAGATTTCCATGCTCTGTAACTCATAGTATCATAGATTTAGAGCAAGGAGGGACCCTAGATGACACGTGGTCCAGGACATATATTAGGATCAGAGTTTCCCAAAAGCCAGGTAATAAATAATGAGGATGTGTAGAGGAGAATAGGAAAGAGAGAGAAACAGACAGACATAGGCAGAGAGAGCAGAGACGGATGACCATGACAGTTCTAGAGTGTGGGCCAGTTAGAGAGTAATGGAAACCTCATGGATTATTTCATGGGGTTCAGCTGTAGCCCTTTCTGCATGGAAAACCTCCAATTTGGAGGAATTCTTCTTCAAAGAATTATACTTGCCAGTAAATATTTGAGTTGAAATGAAGTCAAAATGAAATTTGTTAAAGATGAATTATGCATGATGATCTATTCTAAGCATGATATGTAACCTGACAGCCCCAAAGAGACATGTTTTGGATGGGAGAAAATATTTATTGATCTTGTTAGGTAGGTAACTCACCAAAGGAAAAAGCTATTTTTCTAGATGAGATATTCCACACTTCATTTCCAGGGACAGGAAAGAGAGTCATGCACCAAATTGTCAAATTATTGGGTAGAATTGGCTGGTTAGGCTTCAGAACCCTCAACTTAGATGTTACTTCATAAATGCCTTCATCACGTTTCCTCTTTCCAGTGGTAATGTAAATGCCTAGAAAAGAACAAGGAAGCTGGTTAGCCACTATAATTTAGTGTATATGCTACAAAACTATCTCAAGTGTGGGAATTAGGAGAAATACCAGACATAAACCATAACCTGTCCACTGCAAATAGAGGAGTGGGAGAGTGTCCTCTCACCATAGGCCATCACTTCCTGACACCAGGAAAAATACTTCTTTAGACAGAGGGCACCTGAAGCCAGTTTGGCTGTGAAAGTTCCAGACCTTTTCTTCCTACATCTTTGGCACATTTTGCCTGGATCTAGGGGAGGCAGGGAATAGAGAAGGTCATGCGTGTGGCCTTTTAGCCACAGCTACAGACCTGAGAAATGAGTGATGGCTGAAAGCAAAGCATAGAAAATTGAGGACCATAGAATCCCTAAGGAGATTTTATGGGGGCTGGAAATTTAGAAAAAAAAGATATTTTGACAACTGTATTTTAATATGAGTTTCCTTTTGTAGATTTGTGTATTTTAATTTATATTTTTAAGAACGCTATTCTGAAATGTAGTGTATAGGCTTCACTTGACTGTCAAAATGGTCCATCACACACACACACACACACACACACACACACCCCTTAACAACTCCTGGCTTGAAGTGAAGTGAACAGTTATAGGTCATGAAAGAATTTCTTTTCATTGCAGAATCTAGTGAAACTCACTGCTACAGTTGAATTTTTTTTTAAATGTTGACTAATTATACAACTAGTAGTGGTAGAGAAATGCTTTGAGAGACATTACAGTAACTCACAGAGTCATAAAGAGGTGAAATGGATCTTGGTGGTTATCCAATCCAAATTTCATTCTTACAGATGAGGAAACTGAGGCCTGGAAAGGTTAAGTTACTTAACCTCGGGTCACACAAGTGTCTGAAAGAGAATTTGAATCTAGGTCTTCTTGATTGACAGGTAGAATACTCTACCCATTATGCAATACTGCCTGGGCTTATTTCCTTCTAAAATTAGAAACAACAACAACAATAGCAACCATATACATATACGTACATACATACATACATACATACATATATATATATGTATATGGTATATGTATGTGTAAGTGCATGTGTGTGTGTGTAAAATATTTGAATGTCAAGGATGGGGATTGTTGCCAGTAAAGCACTTTAGACATTGTGACATAATTATCTTAGTAGAAGGGGAAAGAATTATGACAGGTGGAAGAACTATGCTTTAAGGTAGCTAGTAGAAGGGGAAAGAATTATGACAGGTGGAAGAACTATGCTTTAAGGTAGCTGAAACGAGACGTTCTTATGTAGTCTGTCATGTTGGGCTCCCCATAGAAAACATACGTTCCTTTCTCATCAGCTGAATTTGTCTTCAGTGTGCATTACTGTTGAGTACCTTTTAATCCTTGTTTTGTTTTGTTTTGTTTTTTTGGGGGGAGAAGCAATAGAGGTAAAGTGACTTGCCCAGGGTCACACAACTAGTAAGTGACTGAGGCTGGATTTGAACTCAAGTCCTCAGGACTACAGGGCTGGTGCTGTATTCATTGTGCCACCTAGCTCACCTGGCTCTCTTTTTAATCCTTTTGATGGAAGTGTTTTTTTGTCCCAGGAATAGCTCCAAACTATGCCCTTCTCTTTGGAATATGGGGTCCCTTACCCCTCCCTAGCCTTTATAACTCTTTGACAGGAAAAAATGGGGCTATCTCTTTTTTTTGATTTGTTTAAAACAATCAATAGTTAATTGAATTATAAATAATGTAACTATTTGGTGAACACTTATTTAACTAAATATTATCACCCTGAGAAAATTCCGTAGGTTTACAAAAGAGATTTCTCTTTACTTATAGTTAAACAAACAAACAAAAACAGATTAGCATATTTGCCTGGGTTTGATTAATTCAACCACTCTTCTTTTATGCTGGAAAATGTTTTCTTCCTCCTCGAAGGTGTAAGCTGAGGTACCTAAAAGCATCTGGCAGGCAATAATATGTTTTTCTTGGAATCAGAATGATCCTTGAATGCCAAGAGCAGGTTAGCCAATGACATTGGCTTTTACTCTAGCCCATCTGTCTTTTACAAACATTTTCATCGACTAATTTTCTCACCTTCTTTTTTGTTTTGAAGAAGCTTTCCATCCATATACCATGAGAGGTTAGCCATGGGGAACACATTCCTCACCAAACAGTTAAAATTTTTCTGCAGCAGGTAGGAAACAAAGAGACAATCACTGATATGTTCTGATTGCATGGGGGTTTGGGACTTCTTGTCCTTCTGGTAACACTCAAATCTTGGCACTTCTATAGCCAGTAGACTTTTCTTCCCAGCATCCTTTCTAATAAATATTGGGTGTCCCATAAGACCATGTTGTTGTTGTTCAGTCATGTCCAACTCTTTGTAACCCCATTTGGGGTTTTCTTGGCAAAGATACCAGAGTGATCTGCCATTCCCTTTTCCAGGTCATTTTACAGATAAGGAAACTGAGGCAAACAAGGTTAAGTGACTTGCCCAGGGTCACACAACTAGTAAGTGTCTGAGGATGGATTTGAACTCATGAAGATGAGTCTTCCTGATTCCAGGCTCAGTACTCTATCCACTGTACCACCTAGCTGACTTTTGGGATACCATGTACAGACAATCCCCAAATTACAGATCATTTGTGTCTCCCAATGTTTGCTTTTAATTTAATTGTTTTGGAATTTGTCATACATTTCTACAAACCCCTTCTCCTCACAACAGTCCTGAGGAAGTTCCAGTAATCTATGGATTATTCTGTCCATTTTACAGAGGGAGAAATTGAGGTAAGAGGTCAGTGACTGCCTAGATCACACAGTCAAGTATCAAAGTCAAGACTTTGTCAAGGCCCTTGTTTTGGCTCCTCTTTCCATTATACCATACTGCCTCTCATAAAAGCATATTTAATCCATACTCAATCAATCAGCATAGCCATATCAATGAAATAAGAACTAATATTTGTATAGCTAAAAATAGTAGTTTTGCAAGTCCTAGACATATATTACCTTGTTTGACCTGTGCAACAATACTATGAAGTAGGGGCTATTTGTCCTACCCTTGCAGAGGAGGAAAAGTCTCAGAGACATTGTGACTTGCCCAAAGTCACATAGATAGTAAATATCCAAGACTGGATTTAACCTCAAGGTTTTCTTGCCTGCAATTCTAGTTGTCTATTTTATCCACTGTAGTGAAAGTGGCTAAAATATGCTAACAGTATTAGTTTGAGGATCCCATCGAAAGAAAGAAAAGGGAGATTTTTTTTTCTGGTCCAGGATCATTCCCTAGGTATTGACAGTAAAATTTTTAATATCAATTGTAATATTACTTGCCACTCCCACTTAATGATCCTAGTAATATCAGAATTCCAGTAATGTCATTGCATTCCTACTACTTTAGATTAGGTTGAGTTGAGCCACTCCCTAGGTCCCCACCCTGGTACCCTTCCTTGTAAACAAAGCCAGCTTGAGCCAGACCACACCATCCAAAGTAGGTTCTGATGTCCTAACCCCCTTCCATTGGGATTCATGGCATGAAGGATAAAACAGCCAGAAGAAAGTGGTTTTCCTTGCTCAGATTCCCAAGGGCAGCTGGCATCTCATGACCAGGCCTTGCTACCTAATGTGACCACCAACTCTTCTCCTAAAAGTATAAGAACCTTTCCTGTAGGTCTTCTGATGGGACATCCCCCAGGATGGAAGGTTTGCTACCCTGTTATCTTGATTAAAGATGCCTTATTTCTCCACTTATGAATTTCATTTATTTCAGGACTTGACAGTATTATTTCAAAATAGGTGGTTTGTCTTAGCATGGCAGACAAAACAAAACAAAATCCCTACCACCTCCCTTCCTGAATTTCTCTACCTTCTTGTGCACCTCATCCCAATATCCAAGTATATTTATATTGCCTTAAACCCCTCACTGCAGCAGCTCTGCTTGGGCTCATGGGGAGGGGTTAGTTGGGGGCAGGGAAGAGTGAGTAATCAGAGCAATGGATCTCAGCTAAGTGTTAGTAGGACAGTAATCTGATCAAATAAACGCACACTAAGGTAAGAAAGCCTAATTTCTTCAGACTTGTTTGCCTTTTAAATATTCTTCTCAAATGGATCTATGATCTCATCAATTTAGAGATGATTTCTCCAATAAAGCAGTTCACAACCAGTCCATACGTGCCCATCTTGGGCTACTGTCTATGTTCACCAAAGAGAGTCCACCCCGGAAGCCTTCTTCACTCTCTGGAGCCCAAGTAGCTCTGTAATTAATGGGACTTGGGACAATGTTACAAAAACAATCCAGCCTTTGTATGAAGAGATAGGAGGGCCAGATCTCTGCCCAGAAATCTGTGCTAAGAATAAGCTCCATTAAAATATTTCTGCTTTTCATTTAAGTTTTTTTTTTCCTTCTTCCTTCATTTCTGAATCCAAGCATTTTTTTACATCCTCACGTTCTCTTTTCCTAATAGCCCCCCTTTGCAGCAGGGACAAGGGCATGCCTGGTGCTTATAAATTGACTGACTGACTTACTCTGTAAATCACCAGCCAGACTTTGCTGGAGACTTTTTTTTTCTTTCTTTCTCTTAAATTTATTTATTTTTAATTCAAGAGACAAAACAAGCATTTCCATAACATAGTACAATAAATAAAATGATTGTACATTAAGTCTACCATGTACAACTTGCTATTCCCTTCAAATATACAATAAAACTATGATGTAAATTTCTTTTTCCCCTTTTTTCTTCTCCCCCTCCCTAGAGCTGCCATTAGACACAAATAGGTGTGTATACATATGTATATATTTATATACATATATTTACATAAGTATGTAAAATTATTCTATACGTACTTCTATTTATCATTTCTTCCTCTGGATGTAGATAGTATCTTTCTTCATATGTCTTTTATTTTTAATTTGGTTATTTATAGTAGTCAAAATGACTTAGTCATTCAAAGTCATTGCCTGAAGACTTTGGATGAGAGGAACTTCTCCTATCCTATCCTCCCCCCACTACCTCCTGGTAATCCATTTCACTTCTGGATGGCTCAAATTTTTACAAAGCTTTTTATAGGAATTAGGAAGACTTGCTTGAGACACCTATGGTACATACAATTCAATAGCAGAATTACAGATAGAACCTAGATCTCCTAATTCTGTCTGCTTCTCCATACAATGGACCAGGAGAAAGGGAACAAGTATTTACATAGCAGCTACTATGTGCCAAACACTTTGCAAATGTCTTATTTGCCCTTTGTGGCATGAAGGGTAAAACAGTCTAAGGGTGAAGTATGGACTTCTTTCCTAATTATATTTGGCTTGAGGCATTAAGTAATATTAACTTTTGTTTTTTTTAAATAATGTCTCATTTGATTCTCATAACAACCCTTGGGAGGTAGGCGCTATTGTGATCCTCATTTTACAGTTGAGGACGCTGACACAGACAAAGTTAAGTTACTTGTCCAGGGTCACATAGCTAGTAAGCGTCTGAGGCTGTATTTGAACTAAGGTCTTCCTGGTTCCATGCCCAATGTTCTGTGCTACCTATGCCCCACGTTGTTATCTAGCTGTCATCAGTCAACTAAGCCATGTGAACTACATACTTCTTTCCCTATCCAGGGTTCATTGTGTTTGACCCCAAGTATTACTGGTAATGGGAGATGATATATTCTGCCTGTTGGAAAAAAAAGAGGTGTCTAGCTTGGGGAGGGTCAACTAAGTTGTCCATGAGCATAGAGTTTGTGATCTTAGTTTAATTTACTGTCTGTCATTCATGAACCACACGGTGATTAACAAGGAGAAAATGATGGCTTGACTAAATCATGGGAGAATGCCATCTGTTCTCTCTCAGATGCAGCCTCCTCAGATCAGATCCGGAATATGCTGTAAGAACAGAGATAGGAGGTCACTCTGTACTGTGTCTGTGAGGGGTGAACATTTACCACAGGCCTTCCAAATAGTCCTGGAAAACTCTTCTCTCTCTTTCCTTTCCTCTTTCTTTTTGAGTGAGGGACTTTAAATAGTCTACCTACGGAAGACCTAGTCTAATGTTTCATGCCAGTCAGGAAGTAACCTTGGGCTCTTGAAATATATGTCACTGAAGTGTAAGCTCTGTCTGGTTCCATAGAAGCTATAAAGGCTTTGAATGGGGAAATTGGCAGGAGGTGGGGAGGAGGAGGAAGCTAAGTGGTGAAGTGGATAGAGTGCTAGGCCAGGAGTTAGGAAGACTCATCTTCCTGAGTTCAAATCTGGCCTCAGACACTTACTAAGCTGTGTGACCCTGGGCAAATACCTTAACCCTGTTTGCCTCAGTTTCCTCATCTGTCAAATGATTTAGAGAAGGAAATGGCAAACTACCCCAATATCTTTGCCAAAAAACCCCCAAATGGGGTTACCAAGAGTCAGACATGACTGAACAACAACCATATTAATATGTGGTTTTCTAAGTCAATATTCAGCTGAAGGAATCTTTATGTACAATTTAGTGCCCCAATTTCTATTAGAGTCTGACACCACTGGTTTACTCCACCATTCAAACTCTTTATCTACCATATGAGTAATAAATTTTAAAAAATGATAATTCCATTAGTTGAACAAACATTTATGAAGGATTTATTATGTGAAAGTTACTATGCCAGATGCTAGGAATATACAGACAAAGATAGAATAGTTTCTGGAGTCTCAAGAAGCTTAAATTTTGTGTGTGTGGGAGAAGATATTAGATTATATACTTAGATGTATATCAATATATACCTATATATAATCTAAGTATATGTTCTAAATACATATAATAAACATTTTTATTGGGTGGATATTAGAATATATACATAGGTATGCAAGGTATATGTCAGACTGACTATACAAAAGACATTATTTAAAAAACAAAAGTTAATATTACTTAATGCTTCAAGCCAAATATAATTAGGGAAGAAACCCATACTTCACCCTTAGACTACCACTTTAGAGATTTAAAAGCTCCCTCTTGGACTTGAGAAATCAATAAAAAGGTAAAAGGAAGGACAGAGGAAAAAATTGGATGAAATATCACTGCTACATTTGAATGAGTGACAAGTTTCTACATCTTGTCAAATGAACATGAATCGCATGGCTCATATGCCCCCGTCTCCCACTCATATACAGCCATCAGGTACTTTAGGTACTCATTACTTCTCAGCTTTATTTCATAGTAGCCATCTAATTGTTTTTCCTGCTTGCAGTCTCTCTGCTTTCCAATTTTTTTCTCCACACAGCTACTCCAATAATCTTTCTAAAACAATTCTGATCATGTCATGCCCCAGCTCAAAAGTCTTCAGGGCTCACCATTTTGTCTAGGAGAAAATGCAAAGTCTTCACCTTAACATGTAAAGCCCTTCATCATCTCAATCCAGTCAATCTTTCCAGATTGATTTCACATCAGGCTCCTTAAAGTACTTTCTATTCCAATGATATCAGTCTACTTGGTGTTCTGCGTTCCTAGCCTTTGTATAAAATGTCCCCGTACCTGAAATGCACTCCTTCCTTACTTCTGTTTCTTAGGATTCTTTTGAGCATGACTAATGTAACACTTCCCATTGAAAGCCTTTCCTGATCACCCCAGTTTTTATATTTCCTCCCTCTTCAAGTTACCTTATCTTTACTTATCTGAAGATGCTTTATTCCCCCAGGAGAAAGTAAGGTGCTAGAAGGGAAAGCAGTTTTCCCTCTATACATTTCCCTATATTCATTTTTGTGGCCATATTTTCCAGCTTTGTAACTTAGCCTGAAGCATCTTCTTCTATATAGTTACTTGAAGAAGAGAGAATTCAGCCATAGGTCTCTTTCCCCATTGAGGTAAGCTTAGTTTTGATTAATTTCCTTTCATTTGATTTTCCATTGTTGAGGGAAAAGGAGTTTACTTCCTTCCCACCAAATTTTCCTCTATATTCACTTTAAATGTCTTTCTACATCAGAAAATCAAAATATTTTTGTAGGAGAAAATTCAGAAGAGTCTGGCTGGTGGGGAGAGGGAGAAATTTTCCTTGCCATTTTATTGTTGACTCTTGTTTCCCCTCCGTCCACTGGATTGTAAGAGCTCAAGAGACTTTGAGCTAGAAAGGACCTTAGAGGACAATTGTCCAATCTCATTTCACAGGTCAAGAACTAATGTCTAGAGAGGGTCAGTAGTTTGCCCATGATCACACAGATTTTATTACCAGAGATAGGATTTTAACACATATCCTCTGACTTCCAATCCAACATACTTTCCAGAGAAGTGGTCCCTCTCCCAGTAAGCATCTTGACTACAGAAACAATGACCTATTTTTTTTAATTCCCCCCTCAGTGCCTGTGTTCTTCTTCTTCTTTTTTTAAAGGACCATGTAAAATGTCATAGGCCACTCAAGATCTGACTCTCATCTAAAAACTAGGAAGGTCTTTTCCTACTTGAACTAATTAAGCTTATCTAGCTTAAAACAGATGGAAACCTAATGACTCATAGAATTTTATTTTCATTCTAACTTGCCTTTTGAAACATACATCATTGATAGTATTGTTTTATTGATAACGTAGACTATGGTCTAGAATATGATTTCATTCATGAAGGGAATTCTTGGTAGGTGTAGAAAATCCTCGCATTGAGGAGTTTCACAACATTTTTATCCCCATGATATTATTATATAAAGCCAATTATTTTTTGGCACAACACTGCTTTTGAAATGTTTGTTAACTAATATTTCTATATGTGTGTATATACATATATATACACACATATGTGTATATATATTATATGTATGTGTATTATTATGTACAACATATATGTATATGCAAATAATTTTGGATAAGTGGTTTTATTTTTTGGGTTTTTTTGAGGGGGAGCATTGTCAAGTTGAGGTTGTAGAATTTTAAAAAATCATTCTCTTGGATTGTTATGTTTGAATTTTATCATGACTGTCCCTCTGCATCAATTTCATTTCCCATCCTTTTTATCATCGGAATACATGGAATTTTTTTTAGGTTTCTCTAAATTTTGCCCCAAAATTGAAGTGAAAAATGAGAACATTCTTAAAGATGATCATGTTGAATCATGAGAAGGACAAAGAAATGAAAGAACTAGTTGATTGAAAGTCTAAACAGATGAAGAAAAGTGAATGTTTTTTGAGTTGCTGTTCATTGTATGTTTCCTTATGCATGGTTTCCAGGGGGCATATAAGAAACTGTGTCAAGTCTACCAGGAGCCAGATGTGTTCATGCACTCTGAGGTATCAGCCATGTTCATTCTGCTATGGAATCCACTATACTGGTGGGATCTTGGAACTTGGGTAAAAGTGTGGGACCCCTCCCTAAGGCTCAGCTGGGCAGAATAAATCAAATTTACAGTCAGAGGACCTAGGCTTATAGCCTGTCTTTTCTACTTTCACTCTTTTCCTCTGCTTCTCTCTGCAACTCTTGGGCAGGAAGGAAGGAGGGAGGGAAAGCAGGAAGGAAAGAAGGAAGGAAGGAAGAAAACAAAGCATTTATTAGGTACTTAGTATGTGCCAGGCATTGTGCAAAGTGCCATACAAATATTATCTTATTTGATCCTCACAACAACCCTATCAACTAGGTGCTATTATTATCACCCCAATTTTACAATTGAGGAAACCGAGTCAGATAGAAGTTAAGTGACTTGTCTTAGATCACACAGCTAGTAAGTGTTTGAGGGCAAATTTTAATGTAGGTTGTCCTGACTCCAGGCCAAGAACTCAGTTCACTGGACCACTCAGCTGCCTCCAATCAAAGAATAAACCACTCCAGAACCTTGAATTTATAACTGGATCATTGCAGAAGAATCCAAGTTCTTGGATCCATTTACCTCTTATGAAGTCAAATTAATATAACAGGAAGAAGAAACAGGAAATAAAGCGGGTGTGAATAAAATCTGTGCTAATGTTTCATTCTCACAACTCAATTTATGTTGCCAAAATAACAACAGCTACTAAAGCTTAAAATTGCACTAAGACTTTTGGTACACTCAAAAGTTTGCAAAGCATTTTGCAAACCTTATCTCATTTTATCCTCACAGCAATTCTGAGAGGAAGATACTATTATCAGCCCCATTTACAGAAAAGGAAACAGACTGAGGGAGATCTGACTCTGTATCTACTTCACCACTAAAAACAAAAAAATGTAGACAGAAACTATCTTTCCGAAAGAAGTTGGAGAATGGGAGGAAAAGAGTGCCCAGACCCTTTGAAAACAACAACCAGCAGCAGGTCTGGCTCATCTCTTACAGTGACAACACAGCCACTCTCTTTCCTTCTTTCTTAATAGTTAATTGATAATAGTACTTAATACTCAAATCTTTCAGTGAAAATGCTCTTGATGAACATAAAAAGTTTTTAGGTTACTTACCTCTTCCAAGATATCAGTGGAGCTGTTCTGCATGTTCATAGAGATTTCTGGTTTGGCTTAAAAGGAAAATACAAACACGATTAGTTGTGCTGAAGATCATTTTATATGGCCTGTTAGGGCCAGGTCTCATGTGTGTGTGTGTGTGTGTGTGTGTGTGTGTGTGTGTGTGTGTGTGTGTGTATGTATGTACCTTCTGTGGCCTATACCCTCTGCCTCTTTACCTTTGATCCCCTCTCCCAATATGCTCTCTTCATGACCTTTTCCTTGCTGTCCCACAGGTGCTGACTTTGGCTTCTAGATCCATTATGTCTTCTATCTTTATTTGCCTCATTCACCTGCCTTCTCCTGATACAAACAAGTTCTGTAGTAGTAATAATGCCCAATTGAGTAAAAATAAATGGAATATAAATCCTTTGAAAACGAGCATATGATTTTTCAGTGTTGTATCTCAATTACTCAACATATGAGCTTCATAAATATTTTTAATCTAATTTAATCGCTGCCTCCACTTGAATTCTCATTCAACCCAAACACATCCTCTCTTCCTCCTATGTAATTGCTCCTCAGTTATCTCACTACTCTCACCCTCTGGTGTGGTCAATGGAAATAGCACTCCCTTCAAGGTGAACTCCCTTTTATACTACACTTATCCATTGCTTCTGGCTTCTATCTCATTTACTTTAGCATAAACTCACCCCCTAACCAGCTTCCCTCTCCCACAGAAACAGGGACCCCAATGTCAACCCAAATTAGGATATTTATTTTGTAAAATCTGATTAAAAGTGTATGTTCTTTCCTTGTTCTGGGAAATCTAGAACTTAAGTTTGCTGTACTCTGCTAAAGCTTTCCTGCCTTGTCATGGTATAATGATTATCTTTGAGTTCTTGAAGATTATGACAGTGGAGGACAAACTCTGGAAAACTTTCCAAAGCTGGAAAGGCTTGGAGTATGGTCCTGGTGACCCACCCTATGCCAGTCCTGAGAATCTCAGCCTAGCTAAATTTGGAGAAGCTCATCTCCACAGAGTTCACTGCCAAGGAATGAATTATTTCAACCACAGTAACTCACAAAGACAGTTTACTCAGGCATGGAGAGGGCTTCGGTCTGCAGCCATGGAGGGAGATTTCCATACCAGTGGAATTATAGTGTATTAAAGTTTAACTCAAGCTTCTCTGGGCACAGTCAGTTCTAACCTGGAGACAGCTTTGAGGGGCCCTTTGACATGCTCAGTTTCCTAACATGAAACCCACTGCCTGTGTCTTTAAAAATAAAAAAAGACTGAGCTATGTACTCTCTTTTCTGCCATCTTTTGGTTACTTTCTTTTTGGCATCTCCTGTCTGCTGAACCCAGCATGGATTCCATGAACTGAACTGGTAAGAGGGGAAGGAGTTTCCTGTCCTCTCTTTTTCTTCTCCCTTGATTTATTTTATTTTTAATTTACAGAATGAAACAAGTATTCCATAACATAGTATAATAAAAAAAAAAGATTGCACATGAAACTGCAAATCTATTATGTACAACTTACTATTCCTCTTAAGTATATAATAAAGTTATCATGTAACTTTCCTTTTTTTTCCTTTTTTGTCTTCCTTCCTCCCCACTCCAAGATGGCTACTACAGACACAAATAAGTGTATATATGTAAAATTATTCTATACATACTTCTATTTATCAGTTCTTTCTCTGGATACAGATAGTCCTTCTTCATATATCCTTGATAGTTAATTTGGGTGTTTATAATAGTGAAATGACTTATTTGCTCAAAGTCATTCTTAAAACAATATTGCTGTTACTGTATACAATGTTCTCTTGGTTCTGTTCATTTTGTTCTTCATTATTTCATACAAGTTTTTTCATGGTTTTCTAAGATCATTGAACTCATTGTTTCTTACAGCTTAGTAGTACCGCAATCATATTCCACAACTTTTAAAAGAAAAATCTCTGAAAAATGGGCCTGGTGTATTTGTTTCTTGTCTATGGTGTTTGTCCTCAGTTTCAGGTGCCAGAGGCGATCCTCATAGGACCTGAGAACCATGGTAACCTTGGACCCAGGATTACAAGTGGGATGGTGCAGCCTGCTCTATGTTGAAGCCCTAAGAAACCAAGGTGCCTAGGATTCAAGCTCAAAGGGGGTTTGGGACTTGAAACTGGGACTGTGTTCTATGGAACCATGCTAAGTTATGAGCCTAATCTTCTTCCCCTTCCTAGAGACTGCAGAGGTGCAAAGGGTGAGTAGGATCATGTCTCCTTTGCTTTGTGGGAATAAGCTTGTATATTTGTGATTATATTTTTGGAAGTAAATATTCATTTGTAAAAGTTACTGTTACCAAAGTGATTGTGGTTTGCTGTAACTGTAAAGACCTCCTCTAATTCTGAGCTCCCACACCTTCCATTCCAGATGAGGAAGATCATTAAATTGGCACCTTTTCTCTGCTTAGTGATTAGCTGGCAATCACCCCAGCCACTCTTACAATACCTTATTGCATATTGTATATTTCCTCTCTCCTCCTTCAGGCCCATCTTCACCTTTGTTGAGAATTTCAGTTCCTGGCTGATGGTTTTGCTCTTTATTCTCTGACCACATGCCTGTTGTTCTGTCCCAGGATCTACCTGGAGTAAGGAGTTGATCTAGAATCTTTGGAGTTGGGGTACAGTGGGGAAAAGGAGTGGAACGGGAAGAAGAATAGAGAGGAAGGACTCTAGGGAACCAAATATTTGGGGAGAAAGGGCTGAGAGTTTTCCAGGATGGGGCACTGAAGCTGGGGTCTACCATGTGGGGAAGGAAAGTGAGTTTTGGTGGAAGTCCTGGGAGGTGGTGGGAAAACTTTCTGGCCTTGTCTGAACTTAGCCATGCAAAGGTGAGAGATCAGACTTGTTGTTTAGAGACCAGGTATGTTTAATGCTTAACTCAGAACATAGGTTATGCTGATCAGAAACCAAGTCAGAATCAAAGATTGATTCAAGGAGTGTGAAGAGTTTTGTCCCATTCTGTATCTCAAACAACCCTTGTTTGTTTGTTTGTTTGTTTGTTTTCTGGAAACTGCCTGTTTGTTGGCCAATCCATTACTCTTTCCTTGTTCCTCTGTTTGAATCCTATGTAATGTATAACCTACAGACTCTAGCAGCAGTGGGTCACACTTTTTCAGGTCTCCCCTTTGCTGAATGACTTAATAAACCTCCTAAATCATTTTAGTTTAGAATCTTTTGTTCTCAGCTAATAGCAGCAAGGCAGACAGTCGGAACTTTGACAATAGCAGCAAGAAGGAAGAATAGGGAGAACAGAAGGGATCCTACTTAGTAATGGTGGTGAGCAGGAAAGAGATGTCCTGAGGTCTCAACCCTAGAGAGGTGAGTCTTGGTACAAATAATCATAGAATTCTAGAGCTAGAAGAGACCTTGTAAAGATCACCTAGTCCAGGGGTTCTTACTTTTTTGTGTGTCAAAAGCACATCTGACATTCTAGCACCTCTGTGGCCTCTCCCTCCTATCTGATGGTTTTTCCCAGAGCCCCCATTTCCGGAGGGTGCCTAGTCCAGTCAGGTATCATTCATCTCCAGACTGTGCTCCATTCTTCCTATGTCTTTTGTCTTCCCCTCCTTCAGCTTCCATTTATGCATTGTCTTTTGCCATCAGAATGTAAATTCCTTGTGGTTACAGAATGTCTTTCTACTTGTATTTATGTTCCCAGCTTAGTATAGTGCTTCGCAATAGTTAAGTACTCAATAAATGTTAATTGAGTAAGTCTATGAACACCTCCTTAGAACAATGTTTTTAAATGCACAAAGTAAAATACATGATTATAAAGAAAACCAATATACAGTTATAAAAATAAAAAATTTGCAGATCAAAGGTTTATTCCTGATCTCGTCCAACACCTTACTTTTAAAGATAAGGCCATTGAAGCCTAGAGATGTTAAGTGACTTTCTTAACTGTGGTTCCTATTGGCTCTTAGAGAAAGATCCCACTCCCAAACCAACTCCTAATTAGACTTTTCAACTCAGGTGGTAAGTTCAGTCAGAAAGTGAGTCTAAAGGAGTGAAGATCATAGGTTAGGTTAATGCTTGTTAAGATTAATTTCACATAAAATTTATATGTAATATATTTCTATGGACATACACATACACACATATATGTACATGCACACACATACATGCATATACATGTATATGTATGCACACATACAAATATATCCTAAAAGTTGTGCTGACTCAGTGACTCACTGTTCCCAGAGCTGCTTGTCAATAAGTATTGGGGGAGGCATCACTGATATGTGTCACATGGCCAAGTCACCCCATACCTGTACCTGGAAATTGTACTCCTGGTTTGGGGAGAAACTGAGATTCAAAGGCCCAGACTCTATGATGACGTGGACCTATCCAAATTGTCTTTATCTCATTACAAAAGTTATCAATAAAAGCTGGCCCCACCTTGAAGCCATTGCTGACCTCCAGTGATCAGCCTGTCAGTGTGTTGCTACCTTGACATAATTTAATAAACTCCTTTAATAATTTATAATAATTTATAAACTCCTTTAATAAACTTCTGTGTTTTGCCTTGTTAGTCAGGATGAAAGCTCAAACAATTTTCCTTTCAACATATAATGTACACACATGCATATGGAAATTTATACACATGTGTGTTTGTGTATACATGTATGTATATAAGTACATGATGTGCACATGCATGTATGAGGCAGCTAGCTGATGGTGCAGTACTAGGCCTAGAGTCAGGAAGACCTGAGTTCAAATTTAGTCTCAGACACAAGCTGTGTGATCCTGGGCAGGTCACTAAACTTATTTGCTTTAGTTTCTTTAACTGTAAAATGGGTATAATAAAAGCACCTACCTCCCAGAATTAAGGATTCATTGAGCAATTGAGGATCAAATGAGATGTTATCTGTAAAAGTACTTAGCACAGTGCCTGGCATATAATAGGTGTTATATAAATTCTTAATCCCTTCTGTTATGTATGTATGTATGTATGCATGTATATGTATATTCTTTATTCTTAACACGCACTCCCTGTTCCAAACAAACATTTTGAAAATATGAACCA